GATGAATCCCAAGATTGCCCTGTTTATCTGATTGCAGGAGCTGACCAGATTTGTGCCAAGTTTCTAACATCTAACATCAACCAGATTTCGGATTTAAACATAGTTTTTTTCAGTGCGATTTCATCATGCTGTCTTTCAAAACTCTGTGATTTAAATGCAACATTAAGGCGTAGATGAATCTGTAAATATTTTAGTTACATTTTGCAGGAACATATACATAAAGATTACAAATTGCAAAGCTTAATATGTTTATTCTCCACTGTTCCAATTTTAATGTTTTTTTTTTTTTTATGAATGGATGGAAGAGAAGTCACATATCCCTAGAGTTTCCCAGTGACCTGGTAGTCTCTGGATGAATACAGATATGATCCTATTCACCAGCTGCTTTCACATCATCTATATTTTGTAATATGATGTCTGTTCCTTTTTCAGTCTTAAGAAAGATACAGGAACAGCAGTGAGCATCTGAGAATCTCATCACAGTGCAACCTGAGGTTTGGGAAGACAATATGGACTGCAGAGCTGAAACATCCATTACATTTTACATTACAAGATGTGCTATCATAATCTTAATAATCAGTTTTGATTATTCTTAATATTCCATCCTTTAAGGGTATTTCATACTGCTTTACAAATGGTGCATTCTGCTAATGCTCACTTTAGTTGTCATTTATTCTTCTTCATATATCAAAACAGTAAAAAAAAAACAAAGCATACAACCTAAATGCAATTAAAATAATGACTCAAATGCCTTGCTCTATAAACTTCAATTTGGTTAACATAATGAAAATAACTATTCTCCTCTGAGTTATTTTACCTATCACATCTGCTGCATGTTGACATCTGCTTTTCTCAAATTTGGCTGCTCTGATGATACTTGACCCTTGGGCTCAGAGTTCCCACACAAGTGAAGTTTTATAGACCTTTAGTATGACCTTCACTTGGAAATTGACTCAAGTAATTTGTGGACTCTATAAAAGCAATCAGCTATCTTGCCGTGAAAGTTAACATTAATGATTTACTAATGTGTTCTGCTGCAGTTTGAGTGCGATCACAGCCAGACCATTTTTCTTGGAACTAGTTGTTGACATTCATCAGGGTGCACAGCAGAAAAGTCTTTGACCATTATACAAAATGCATCATACATCTGAATTAGGACACATTGCTGTTAAAAATGTCTAAACGTAGACCTAAATACATCCTATTTCTTAAAATAATGGGCTCTAGAACATGTGGCATAATATGTTCTTGCACAATATTTTGTCACTGTTTCTAAAAGACAGGAATCATTAAATTATAATTCTACAATTAGAAATTTTAAAAGCAGTGATATGTGTCCTCTTTATTGGCTTGCAACGGTATGTATCTTAATTTGGTAAAAGACCAAAATGCATTTCTAAAGTATTTTGGAATTCTAGATTCTTTCTTCCATTTACTGTATTATATATATATTGCCTGACCCTGCTACAATGTTCTCAGTGGAAGAATTTGTATATGATACACAGTACTGTGTGAATATTCTCACATAGTAATGCATATACAGTAAGATGCAATAAGAATCCTTATTAGTATTTTTTGTGGTTTGTCACTCAAGTTTTCAAGCTATCATGTCAGCTACAAAGAAGATTAAGTGCAGTGGGTTATGCTCACACACAGTAATTCTTTTAAAAATGTATGTTGTGAAACATACTTTTTGGATGGCATGCTTTAAATCTCTCTCCCTGGAATTAGTTCAAACTATTTTTAAACAAAGATTATTTCCCCAATTTGGGGAGCAGAAATACTTAATGTCTTGAGTCTCCTACTTACTGTACATACTTTTCTGAAAATATACCCTACAGTTAATGTACTGTAAAAACAAAATTTCAAGGTGTTTAAAGAACTTTGAAACTGTGGCTACAATGAGGTTGCCTGGAGTTGTTTGGAGATTGGCTGGCCAGCCACAATTCCCCTACATAATTGTCAGCAGCTGAATGATAGCCCTAATGTAGGTCTACTTTTTCTGTTTCAAAAGAGATTCAGAACCACTTAGTTTACCACATGTGATATAAAATAAATAACACACTTCCTCTTTTTTCCTGGTGAGCTGTGGTTCCCAGTAACACTTCAGATCCTTAGCAATATCATGGCACAACAGCCTGGGGGCAGTCAGCACTAGTGTAGCAAAAGGAGTTAAACACTTTCTTCTGCCTCCTCCAGAAAGCCTTCCTGCTGCCGCCTTCTGTTTATCTGCCTGAGTAAATTGGCTGGATGGAAAATTAAATATTTCATCTTGTTGCAGTGCGAAATCAGAGCCAGTGTAGGACAAGGAGAATTCCACAGCATCCCCTCTGAAGTGTTATTTTCACATCTTCCAGATAACAAGAGGATGCATTTTTAAGCGCAACATTTCCATTGATCTGTGCGACATCTTTTCGTGCAGATCATGTGTAACAGATGAACAAGAATGGGGTCTGTTCCAATTGAATGAGAATCCCCAGCGTGAGTTAAGGTGCTATAGATTAATCTATGAAAAAGGATTGATCTACTCAACCTACAAAACCTTCAATTGTCTAGTATAAAAATCCTAAGTGTAGACTGAATTTTAGTGCATAGCACTAAAGCTGTGATGACTTTTTGGTATAGTACATCTTTAGTTTAGGTATTCATTCATTGACAAAAATTAGTAACCTAGTCAAGTCTTGTTCTAGTTGACTGTTTTCAAGACATACTAACAATATTAATAGAAATTATAGTTTTGATAATTTTGCTAGTTGATGGTGTGGATTACCTTTTTATGTATGATTCAGAAAAGTAGTCACAATCCACCCTTTTATTAAATCAAGACCAGTATGCGTAATTTCATCGTGGAATGACGTGCATTGTTGTTTTGCACAATGAACATTCACACCCTTAGATGTAGAGAAAGCTTTTGTGGAGAAGGACCAAAGTTGAATCAGTCCAGTACCAAGCAGAGCCAAGCTTTTAATAATCTGTTCTTCAGGGGCAATGTTTAGACTAGCAGTATGTTGTTAACTTCTGGCGCACACTTTTGTTAGACGAGAAGAAAGTCTTATAATCGCATTTTAAAACAAACAGTCAATCCTGAGACACAAAATGCACTTGGGTTTCTGCTCTCTGTTTTCCATGGGATTTCTGTTATATAGCATAATGGCAAAAATGTTGATCTCAGTCAAATATTATTGAACAGATGGCATGATGAATCTACTTTAAGTGATTTGCTCTCCTTAAAATTAGCCATGAGGCATAAACTGAAATATTGAAGAGAAACCAAATAACTTCTATTGATCTCTATTTCTGCCCTTAGCCCCAGAGAGATTCACACTGCTGCTAAATAAGAACTTTAGCATTATAAATATGAGCCGCATCTTTCATCCATGCCCTGAGGTTCAAAACGTTGCATCACACGTTGTCTTCTGTTACACTATGTGCAATATTAGAATATTACATTGTGTCGATCACATCAAACGCAATGTTGCTGGAAAACATATTTATGAAGTTAGCCCTTTGTGCAAAGGTCTTAGTGGTGCAGCTTGCTGATTGTTTTCTTGTTTGATGGATGTAGAGACTATATTACAGTTAACACAATGTTACCAGCTGTGGCAAGTCGTATTCCTGAGTGATACCTTACCATCACTGGTAGCTTAGTATACTCAGTATAGGTTGCATCACTTCTGTTTAGTAAAGTGAATGAAGATCTTTGTATTACTAAGCTGTTAATGGTGATGATGCTTCTCTTCAGCTAAAGCATTTTACATTTTTTTTCTATAGCAACAAACTATCGCTAAATGTTTTGCTACTACAGCAAACATTATTAAAAAACTACAGTTAAAGTTTATAAACTCCAAACCAAGAGCTACATTTAGTAAATTTTACATTTAGTGTATAGTATGTCCAAGAGCTCAGATCATAAAAGGTAGTTTAAACCTTTCATTATACTACCTTCAAAGGGATATGAATTGAGAAATTACAGTACGTTCCTCAGCAACTAAGGAAGTTCTATAACAAATGTTATCAAAAGCTCAGATTATTAGAAATGACAGTACCACATTAATACATCTATTTGTGCAATAACACCCCATTTTTGCTGAACAATTTGGAGTTGTTTACATTGTTTTTCACTGTAACAGTTGCCATTCTCATGATGGGCTGTGCTGTGAATACGTTATTGTGTATTGTAGTCAGATCACGATTGCAACAACACACAATTGGCAGCTTGTGTCAACCACTTCTTATCTCTGCATGTGTCCAGGCATTTTCTACAGTGCGTTTAAGTATCAGTGCACAGCAGAGGGTGACACTGAAAAAGCACTCAATTGATGTAAAAATCAAAATCACAGATTTTCTTTCTCACAAATCCTCTTTACCAAACAAGCTAACTGTGCAAGGTGGAGCAGTCACCAGCACAGCCGCAAATCACAATTAATCGGATCATTAACTCTTTCACTCCAACACACCCCCCTCACTAAGTTTGCAAGGATGTAAAGGAAAAATAATGTTTTAATAATGTGATCATTTTGTTACGGTTGCAATAGTTGTATTAACATTTGTAAACAGAGCCAGAATGCATTTTTAGTCATGTAACTCATTTTTGTTAAGTAATTCATTGATTCATACTAGGATAGCAGATTTGATTTTTTTTTAATTTCACAAGGTTTTTTTTTTCCCTAAACTTTTTTTTACTCACTAGGGAAAGACTTTTGCTTTTTCATTAGCGATTATGTTTCTGAGGCTTTTAAAGACCAAATTTCTTAATGTTGCGTGAAATTTTAAGTCTGTTTTTTCTCAAATTTATATTTCCGTACTATACTGCTAGAAGCACCTTGGCAAGTGTCTTGACTATTTGTTAAAACCGAAATGAAAGATTTTCAGGCTTATCATGGTAAATAAAATATATATTTATACAGTATGTACTGCCATAAGCAGAAACTATATCCATTCAAAGCTGGAAATTCCCAGCATCCTCTTCTGGCCCCGTTTAAAACAGGTTGTTGCTTTACCTCTCTTTCAGAGCAGTCCCACAGTGTGTGATGTGATGGAGAGTTGTATTCCAGAGGCAGCAGTTAGGGACAGCTGTCCTGTGCACGCAGTCCAGGGGGAGTCTGCAGACTGCTGGTGATGCCCATAAGAGCAGCTCAGTCAAGATGAGGGTGAAGACAGTGCCTTGCGTCTCTCTGCTGTCTCCAGTATGTTTGAAGTCTCAGTTCTGGCTCCTCTCAGTCATGTGCATGTGGATGTTATCATAGACTGGGGTTTCTATTGGCTCCGATCACTAAACAAATCACACCAAGTCTCTCTCTCTCTCTCCCTCTCGGCTTCTCTCTCTAGCCCCCTCCCCCTTCAGTTTTGTTACTCAACCAGCCCTCCAAAGACATTATTGCAGCCACTTTCACCAACTCACTTTCCCTCCTGCTCTCTTCCCCTCACATTCCCAGTCTCTCACTGATGTGGTTCTGACTCAACTTCACAGGCACCGAGACACTGTCAGCCTGACATAAGGTACTTATTTGCATACCAGAGGAAGGGTATGGGTTTCATCTCCATACACTGTCCTCTCAAAAAAAGAAAGTCTGAATGCTGACTGATTCTCAGCTAGTGTCCTTTCCTCCCCTAATTTAAATTTGAAATCTGCATTGTGTTCTACAAGAACAATATTAAGTTGTTCTCAAGTTCCCTGTTTTCATGCTTTCTTGTTTCTTTGGGTGCACCTGACCTCTTAGTGAACGGTTCTTTTTATTTTCTGAATTATGCGAGGACAATACGGTACATGAATTTCGGTAAGTGCTTCAACATTTCAATAGAGGGCTTTATACAGTATACAGGTCTGTAGTTTCAATAACATTGACCATTACTGCAATCAAGGGGCATTCAGCATTTCTTCTGTTACTGGCAGTTCTCTGTTCATGAATGGGTTGATTACAGCTGAACATCTGTTGGACACATTCAGTCTGAAAATACAATTATCCACATATTACAGGTCTTTATCAGACTTTAAGTAAAAACTGTGTAACATTTGGTGATAAATGCCAAAATCACATTTTTTGAAGTTTATAAATATTTGCTGAAGTACAGCTCTAGTTACAGAAGGCTATTTCTAGCAAAAATATATACATTGATATTGTCAAGTGTATAATATTAAAGGGCCTTCATAAACTAAGTAAGATTTGAATTATTGAATTTAATTTGCAACATTAAGCAACTTTTTAAATTGCAAGGTTTTTGTCTATAGACTTAATCAGGGTAATCTATTAATGGTGGATGGAAAAGAAATGTTTTCAATTGATAAGAAATATTTGATCACTTTTAAAAACTGACGCAATTAAAACCTAAGGATGTTGAAGTTGTAAAGTGCAACAGTTGTACCGTCATGCAAAGAGCTTCTGTAGCTGTGGCTTACTATTTATGTCATGTTAAGATCTGCACATGTACTCATTAAAATGTACTATGTAGACATTAACATTAAATGTAGCTTCTCTCCACAGATTTATGCCTAGTGTTGCAGATTATGTTATGAAACCCTGCTCTAGTGTGTTTATTTCTTAACAAAAGTTGGAATTTTATTTTAAGTCCTTTGAACAAAACATGACATAATCGGATTCCTGTTATCATATTGAAGGAAGCTACAATATTGCTGCGGCCAGCCCTAATACATACCCTCTTGTGGTCACAAAAAGAAATGCAACACTTTAAAATGAGATAAAAAGAAAGTACTCGCTCATTCAGACAACAGAAATAAAAAAGTAGTCTCATAATTGCTTACTTTTAAAACCTAGTATACACAGGGTTTTTCCAGTGACTAAACTTTTTTTTAAATCATTGTGACAAAATTAAATATACAAACATTGACTTTTTTCATTTTTGAAGTGCCCCCAGCAAACCTCACAGCTGTTTGAAAGTTAAAACATGAAAACAAGTACTGTATATTTAATATATAATATACTTATAACTGTATATATAATAAACCACACAGAATAGACATATGTAAAGTATACATACTAGGACATTCATACGGTATAAAATGAACAATTCATATAATGTGGTAATGTAAATAGCATATAACACAGATACTGAATATGAAAAAGCCTATGTACAATACAGTAGACGTGTGTGATTATCACTGACTGAATTGTTTGCATGTTAAAGGCTCTCAGACTGCAGCCAGCTGTGCAAAATTACTGAGGCGATGTCTTTCTTTGGTAACTTTATTATTAGGTTCCCTTCTCAAAGCGTATCACTCCTCAGTAGAGGAGAAGAGCAGACTGCTCTGCCTCATCCACAGGCATGCCCAACTCTGCCTGGAAAGGTAATGTAACTGTTGTGAGGTACCACTTACTTGCACTGTGATTGCGTTCTTTGGTACTCTGAAATGGCCAGAACAATCATGCTTCAAAGTACAATTTGCAATATGGAAAGAATATTAATAGCATTCATATACCTTCATTCCCTTCATCAGCACAACCTTTTATTCTTTCTGAAGGTAGACGTAGAACATCTGGAGTCTAAGAAACCTGGCAGGTGTTGAGACCTCATTGTTTGTTAGCCTTGCTTTCTGTGGAAGCCTATTATCTTCATCCTCTTTTCGTGAATAACATGCTGTCAGATGATTGTTACAGCATTAGCTATATCTATCCACGTTGCAGCTCTTCCTTCCAAGAACCAAAGCAGTAAGTCTTTCAGTGATTCGCTTATCTCCTGCAATTGTCCTTTGGACAGAATCACAGGTACTACACAGGTAACAAATTGTACTGTAGATTTTCTCTCTCGTAAAATCCGGGTCTCCCTATGTTTGCCACACACAAAGAAACTGCAGCTCCAGTTATACTGATATATGGACATATCTTATGTCCTTGATTCCAGCCCTGTGGAGATGTATGACTAAGGCTGTTTGATTATGGATGCAGGGTTTATAATGTTTTCAGCATAATCCCCAAAACAGCACTAACCTAAACTGCTACTGTCCAAAATACCGGTCATGTCTTAAAAACAAAAATGTAATAATCTATACTACAGTATGTAAAAAAAAAAATCTTGTTTTTCTCCAATTCCATGGCCAAGTTGTACAGAAAACCAACAGAAAATTAATTGATATCCTTTTAGTTTCACTTTACTATATAATTTATCATACAGTCAAGTGAATTTAATATACTGTATTAACATAATGTTAAGTACTATATATTATATAGTAAGCTGCGGCATCACTGTTTGGTTTCTTTGACCTGTGCATGAGCCAGTGGTTGGAATGAATGTTTATTGTGAATGCTGCATTTCTCAGTAACCCTTTAAAAGGCAAATTAAAAGATTCTTACATTCTGAAATGAGTTGTTCCAGTCTCATTGCGTACAGTACCAGATTTTATTATAAGCCAAACTCCACAGATTAAAAAATATTATAAAATTAAAATTATAAAAAGATCAAAAAATGCTTCCAAGCACAATTCAATTATATTTTTCTGTTTTACACTTCCAAGAACTTTCGGTGCATTTGAAGCTCATTATATCGTACAAAAACACAAAAACAAATGACACTAATATGAGCAAACTTTAAAGGCTGACTGAGAATATAATGGATTTAAATTATTTAGCCTCATTAACAGCCCATAAATGCAAATGGGCTCTTCTTCCCAAAGATAAACTCACAAATGTGAATCACATTCATAAAAAGTTAACCATTAATTCTGATGTCTCATATTTCTTGCTATGGAAAGAGATACAGCATATCTGAATGATCAAATGGACTGAAATGCTAAACATTTGAACTACACTTTGACGCTTCAAAATGTGAAAAAAATAGATCTCAAAACTTGTGCAGCAAATTTTATTGATACACACTCCTCTCAGCTTCTGCAAACTCATTCTGATATAAAGCAAAATCTCATCGATACATTGTCTATTAACACAGAAATTTTGTTCTGAATGAACACACACAGCCAGCCCTGTTACAGTGAAGAATGTTCAGAAATTGCTAGACCCTCAGTGTTTATGGTTTGGGCTGTGTGATAATGCCATTGGGATAAACACAAAGAACAACTGTTTTTATCCTCCATGTGTCACATGTGGATCTGAGTACAGCAGACGAAAACAAAGACATTCAAGTTAGCCACACAAAAGCTTGTAGTATGAACAGTGAAAGATTTATGGCAGTAAGGCTCAAGCATATCTGTTATGTTAAATACATATGAAATGTAACAACAAAAAATGTTTGCATCTTCATTTTGACATTCACAGAAGACGTGTGGTATATATTTAACTCTAATGCCCTCTTCACTTTTAGCGCAACAGCTTGGATTATTTTTTTTTAAGTGTTTCAGAATTGATAATTGCTGTATTATAATTACAATATTTAGTTTATAGATCAGTGTGATTTTCGTGTCTAATATAATATCATTCAACAACTGAAGGTGTCTCTTTTGCTTCTGCGATACTAATTAGATTAGATAATAATTAGAAAATAATTACTAGTACAGTGTTAGACATCCACTTTTGTTTTTAAAACAGCAAGAAAAAAGCTTTACATTTTTTACCCTTTCATTAAAAAGGTCTCTTTTGTGTAAAATTCATACTTAAAAAAGTCAGAATGAATGAATTAATTGCAGATAGAAAGATCATCACTTTTCTGTAACAATTAAATAATGAAACACTTAAATGAGTGTGAACTCAAACCATCTCCTCTGTGATCTTGATTTCTTCATTTACAACAGAAATAGCTAAATCATGTATTGAGGCTTCTAATATAGAAAGGAGTTTCTTTTGATTGAGCTTTCACAATGTCAATTATTATTTTTTGTAGAGCAATCTGTCATAGATTCACCATCACATGCATTACGTAAACAAAACAATTTCATAACGTCTGTAAATAAGATCATTAATTCTTCATATCATATGTAGAAAAGATATTGATGAAATTGCTTACCTTTGTAATCTGTAATCATAAAAAAGAAGTGAGGACAAACTCTAGCTCTGGTGCCCTCTAGTGATACCAATATAAAATACTGTGTCGTGTAACATGAAACATATCAAAAAGTAAATTTACAGTACATAAATTAACACTACCTACCGAATACTGCCTGAACTGTAAAGCAATTCAATTAAAAAAACTGTAACTGGCCACCTCTGTGCAAGATCAAAGTTACCTCTTCAGCTAGTTAATACTAGCTTCTTATCACCACACACTTTCTAGGATCTGTTATTAACAATCAGCCTTAACATCATTTTTTATTCAATATTGAATTTAATAGTACTTACACGCAGACATTCTGATTGAGTCAGTAACAGATTTTCTCTTTATGTTGATGTTTCTCAGAAGTCCACAGGACAAACTGAAAATGCAACAAACCCCCTTAAACAGCAGCTTTGGTTTACTGATCACAGTGGAGTTGTACAACTTCTATGCAATCTGTATATGAGGCCTGCTTAAACCAAGTTGTATTGTAGTTGAAGGCCCTTCACTTTTTCTCCATATGCAATGCTCACACTTGGTCCAGCAGGTTAAAGACCTGTCATTCATTTTTCAAAACAAGGAGAACAAAACACCACTAATGGTTGTATTGACTTCAGAGTGCTTTAACTTCTTAATCATCGCTCTTCATGTCTCTATGAAAACAGTGCTACCAACCGGAGCAAGAGGTGAATATTGCTCCCAGAAAAATGAAAATGTGAAATGAAAACCTCACCATATAAACAGATAAAGGGCCAACTTTTAATACATTTTAAGTAAAAGGTGTCTTTAAATATGGTATAAAAATAAATGCAAGAAACAGTAACAGAATTACAGACTACATAGGACACGGACATAGCTTTTTTGATTTTCAAAATGTGATTGGACATGTATGATGAAAACCATCTGTGCTAATTTTTGTAGTGCAATAAATGCAAATGAAGTTTAATAATAAATGCATACTTTGTAATGTTTCCATTTTGTGTCTGATTATCAGTGATTAAGGTAATGTACCTATACAGAAGCCTTTTTTTATTTTAACTGTACTCCAACTTGCTATAAACACTCGGTTCCAGCTGATTTGGAAGGAAGAAGTGAACGTACAAATTAATCTTAAAAAAGGCATTCAGTAGTTTAAAGTCTTTTCAAAATCCATAATGCCTTGCAACACACTGAAGAAATAAATAAAAAATAGTTCCTCGGACATGCAACAACTGGTCTACTGTCCTCTGGTTTGCCTGGGTAAACAGTGGACTACAATAATGTATAAATGAAATGGTCCTCTTCCAAGCTAAAAGGTGACAGCTTTTTTAGTATGACTGCACAAGACTTGTTAGCCTCTTTGAAGTAAGTGTTTTCCCCTGGAAAAGAAAAAAGCAAGAGATTCAAATGTTATGATGACATGTTTCTTGGGGACTAAGAAAGAAACACCAAAAATAAATATCAGGTGGCAAATATGAGCAGCTGGGTCTATTAAATTCATTCAGCAGACACTATTTTCACTAGACACCCCACAGACATGCAGATTCCAGATTAAGGACCACAATTTTAGATCTGTTATTCCATTGCAAAATTGATTGCCATTGCCTTTATTTGTCATGCACTCACGAATGTAATCTTCCCTTTGAAGAGTCTGGTTGTTATTTTTTGTTCTGGGTTAGCAGGGATATTGTGCATACAAACCAAGCCCTTGGGAGTGAGTGATTTCTTATGTACTGTATTTCCCCTGGTCAGTAAGAAATGAATAAGAAATATGTTGCTTCTTTGATTTTCACTTCTACAGAATGACCCAGTAAAAGACGTCTTTCGACATCTTTTATCATAAAGTAAATGGGAAAGCAACGCCACCAGTGTTTCCATGCCATCAGTGTGGTAATTAAGTAATTCAGAGACTGCACTGAAATACGGGTACATCCGGTGCTCACAGCAGTAACCACATTTACATTTTTTGGTGAGTATTGCGACTCAAATTGTTTTATTTTAAGTGTATAGTTAAAAGTAGGTATTTTTTCCCTTTTAGTTCTCCAACTGGGAGCTGTCCCGCTTTTCACTAGTCAGTATTGACTAGTGAATACTGACTAGTGAACTAGGCAGAGGTTGTGTGTCTGCCTGCCCTGGAAGAAGTCTGCACCACACACCCACACTTTCCTGGATGTGTTGTGTAGTGGGTCTCTGCTTCCTTGCTCATTGCACCTAGAGCAAGACTGGAGATAAACAGAAGCTTAAAGGTATCTGGAGAAACTGAGTCCCTCACTGCAGCCCGGCAGGAGAGTCTCACTTGACTCCAGCCTACCCAAACTGATGTTTTGTGCCACTGCTGGGGAAAGCCCATACACTCGCTAGAACTAGGGTAACCAGACGTCCTCTTTTTCCTGGACATATCCTCTTTTTGAAACCTAAAATATAATTATAAAATTCCAAAACTTGTCCGGAAGTTTGTTTTGCTGGTTTACTCAGACTGTGTAAACACACACAGGCCTACACATTTTCGTTTGTTCCATGTTGGTAGTCTGAACTTCCACGCAGCGTAGCTTGAAAAGGGTTTTTCTGTGTGTGTGTCTGTGGGTGTTTTTATGGCCATGAGAAATAACAATGTTTAACTAGTTTCATTATATGTCAAAATGTTTCGTTAAAATTGATAATTTTTGCAAGCAATGAGGACTTCTAAGTTCTGATGTCTTCATTTTTTCCTCAGCTGTTAAGACTTTTGTTGTGTTAAAATAAAAAAAAACGAAGTTGAAAATAGGGCTACATTTTTGTTTTTTCCTTGTGTGCCATTTTGGAAGAGAAATAGCAACCCTGCAACTGTTTAAAAGTTTACTAAGAAGTTTAATAAATACTAGAGTTTAAATTGATTTTGTGATTAGAATAAGTCATAAAGATTCTTTACTTTGGAGGCATGTGTTGAGTGGCGATTATCCCCCCCATCCTCTTTTTTGAAAACCAAAATATCGTCATCCTAGCTAGCACATAACACTCCCAGTATTCGCTCCTCTGATTTCAGAGATTCGAGCTTTTCTAAACTGCAGGTGGATGTTTTTATTAAATTAAAAATATAAGGTATGTAGGTGTAACTCTCAAATGAGCTATGTTTTTATAATATTGACTGGTAAAAGCTACTGTATTTAATACATTTCATGGTTTAAGCTTATGCAAACAAGTCCCATGAAATACATATAGATTGTTTTACAGATACCTGGATTTTTTTTAGGCACATACAGTAGCATTGCATGTAATTTTGTGATGTCACTCCTTTTCAATAACACTTTTCTGATTCTACTGTAGAAAAGGACAAATCACACTT